ACAACTACAAAAAACAATAACAACAACAATTACAATGCGTTAATTCTGCGCTGCTACTGAATGCCAAAATGTCGCTGAATTGATGGGCCGGAAGTTGAATTTGTGCAATGTCGTCTTTAGTGTTTGAGTTGGTGTTTTGCTGCTGTTGCGCTTTATTTGTTTGTTGTTGTATACTGTATGTTTTTATTACACTTATTTGCGCTACTTTCGGGAAATTGCCAAACGGAAGCGTCGTGATTCCATACACAAACGCATATACAAACACAAAAACCTATATATACCCACAGAGTTTTAGCAGAAGAACCGTTACAGCATGTATGTGCAAATAGCAAACAGTTTCGTCTGAAGGAGTCTCCATCTACAAGTAGGCGTTAATGGGCTGTGTAGACTTTTGACCAACGTGCGCCAGCGCCTAACGCTGTTTAGTTACCCTTTCGTGCAGTAATCGCTGCACTAATACATACACGTTTACACAAGACCAAACTGCAGACACACACATGCGCCCGCATCGGCATCTGTAATGGCTTAATTGTCGGCGAACATGCAACAAGTCGTCGAAACATTGGCTTTGTTTACCTTTTCAATGGCAGCGGCAGCAAGTAAAGCACATCACGGCACAGCATAATAGCCATAGCTGCCTATCGAAACTTCAGCAGCACTTGGCATTAGCCGCAATTCGCTCCAGTAGTTTGCTAATGATTCTTCTGGCAAGCGCGCCAAGCCATTCCCATTTCTGATGCTTGAATGTTTCAGCTGCTTCAATTAAATGCACTGCAGTTCGAAGCGTCTTACCTTGTTATGTGCATTTCTACTTGCTATGCACGTTGGTGTAGGTTCAGGTTGAGCCCCCTTTATATTTCGATGGCATTTGGATGGTAGGGTGGCGCGCTAATCATGAGCATTATAGCTAATGTGGCAGGCCACCAATTGCACGGCGGGTGCATTAATGAATTCTTAAAGGGTCCAAAGGCGCAATTATACATTAAGTGTATTAGGCATTGTGTTGTAAGTGATGTTGGTAAAAAAACAACGTGAACCGTATAAAAATAGATTAAAAAAGTAGTGTCAATGACATCTAGATGGGGAAGTTGAGCTCTGCATCAGTGTTCTGCAATGATAGCTCACTTCTTTTAATATTGCTTCTTTTTTAAAATATATTACTCGATTTTCTGCAAAGGTGTTTAATTTTATTACAAAGAAAAAAGTTTATAAAGTGTAGCAACGCTACAATCACCGATCAAATTGTTCAGATCGGATTACTTTAGCATTATTTAAAGTTTTTTCTTGTTTTCTAATAAAAATAAATTTTTTATATCAATTTGAAATCTTTCAGAGCTCCTAAAAGCAGAGGGCTGTGTAAGCACCTACATATAACTAAATTGTTTTACCTTTGGTTACACTATGAGACCGTAAATATCTTTTTTATTGGACTCAGAACCGCAGAAATATGAATTACAGTGCTCTAAAATTTATAAATTTTCCATTCCTGAGTCGAAAAAGAATGTTTTGAAATACAATTAAATGAAGTATACATTAATTTACTGGGAAATTTCGCAGAAACCGTTGCTTACATTGCGGCGCAGTAAGTTAAAGCGTGCTTTGCTAAAAAAGGAATCGTTATAATTTCGTTGAAACACACACAAGAATACTTTCATTTACCGAAGGATTTCATTGAAAAGGTTGCCTACATTTCGGGATGGTGAGGTAAAGCGTAACGTAAAGAAAAGAGGAAGAAAATTTAATAATATTGATATTACATTATTTTTTTATGAGTAGGATTCGAGAAAACTGTTTCTTTACTTTAGGTATTGCCACCTGAAATTAGTTTTAACCATTATATGTCACGAAATTATTTTATGTAAAAAAAGAAATCAGAATGACAATTAAAAACAAGAAAAAACGTTAACTTCGGTTGCACCGAAGCTATAATACCCTTCACAAATACAAAGGCCCCTTACATGAACTTGATTCCGAACGTTCAACTTGTATGGCAGCTATATGATATAGTGATCTGATCTGACCAATTTCTGTGGAGAATAATTTGTTGCCTTAAGCAAGAACTCGTGTTTAATTTCGTGAAGATACCTCGTCAAATGAAAGAGTTTTCCATACAAGCACTTGATTCCGATTGTTCAGTTTGTATGGCAGCTATATGCTATAGTAGTTCGATATCGGTCGTTCCGACAAATGAGCAGCTTCTTTGTGAGAAAAGGACAGGTGCAAAATTTCAGATCGATAGCTTAAAAACTGAGGGACTAGTTTGTATATATACAGACAGACGGACAGACGGACAGACAGACAGACAGACAGACGGACATGGCTAAATTAACTCAGCTCATCATGCTGATCATTTATATATATATCTTATAGGGTCTCCGACGTTTCCTTCTGGCTGTTACAAACTTCGTGGCAAACTTAATATACCCTGTTCAGGATATAAAAAATATGTTTCATATCAAAAGCTGGAATGAAATGAGATAGAAAGCAAAGATTTATGTATGTACATATTTCTAAAAGCAATTAAATATAAAACTAGTTTATATTTTAACACGAATAACGTTAGCGAAAAATAATTCAAAACTTAAAAACACTTTTTTTATTTTTAACTAAAAGCTCTGGGGGTTTACTTTTTTATTTCTCAAACCGGTTTTTGTGAGGAGAAAAAAAAAGTTTAAAAATAGTTTTTAATTAAGATTTTCAGACATTACATTACAACTCTGATAATAACAAAATTTTTACTTAACAATTTCCCAGTATATGTTATATATAGATGCATACAATGAATTGAAGAGTTTATGAAATTAACGTTAAAACTTTAGTAAACAAAAAAAATTCGACTGGAAGCAAAACTTATTTACCGCATAGCTTTATCCCCGCCACGCTGTGTATGCAACACCCTGTATGCGATTTACCCCATTTCCCAGCTAATGAGCACCTTCTCAAATCACTTCACTTACATTCTTACTTAACCAAATAGAGTAATCGACGCGCTTTAACCCACAACCGCGCATTAACAACAACAACAACAAATAAACATTAAAATATTACAACAAAAAATATATATATAGAATATTTATACTATGATTACACAACTATGAGAATGTAAGAAAGTAAAACCGAAGCGTAAAACTAATTATGAGATACCTAACTGATTGTATGTTCCACTGCAGCGCACTTGCAACACAAATAAAGTGAACAGGTCTGCTGTTGATGGACAGGGGAACAAAAAATAAAGAAACAAATTTTAAAATAGAAAAAAATTAATAGAAATAGAAAAAATTATAGTAAATGAAAAGAAAATCAAAAGAAAAATTATAAATCATAATAAGACAAAAAAAAAACCAATTCTAACAGGTGCTTCAGGCGATAGCTGCTTGCCCCACGTGCCTTTGCGTTTTCCATTGCTGGCTTTGCTTTATCGACGCTCCCAGCACCCATAGGCGGCATGTACGCAGGGGCACGGCCCTGAAAGTGCATATATACATTTATATCTGTTTGTATGTTTTCTTTATAATTAATTTTTCAGACTTCACTGGTTTTCCAAGCCTTAACTTAAGTCTAGCTATGTTGTTTGTCAAAGTATTGGAAAAGTGTCAGCCTGCGCGCACGCATACATATGTGCTCAAGTGTTTGTGTTGAAGTTAGCATGCATTTCTGCAATTGTTGGCTTCCTAGTTAGTACGCAACGTTATGTAAACGTCATTAAGCCATTCGAAGTGTTGGTGCTGGCGCTGTGCAAGCGTATCGCGTCATCGCGTCTGCTTTGTTTGGAATTCGGATATAACGCGATTCTAGGCAGTTAGTTTTATTGCCAAGTCTATGCTGGCTTAAGCTTCGTTTGTCTTCTAATGTGTTTACTGTCAAGCCGGAAATTGATTTGCTAATAATTTTCTTTTTCGGAATAGGAAGTAGTAAATTGATTTGTGCGGTTAGTCAAAAGAAGTGGCAAACTATTAGGTTGGAAGTGGATAAAAGGCTAAATTATTTCCACGAAAGACGATGTTTAACTCAGAAAATCACTTACAAAGTGTTTCGTAAATTTATTTTGAAAGACTTAGGGATATTTACCACCAATGTTAGTAACGACTGTTATCCTTTTGCTCTCAGGCAAGTGTGGTTTAGGAAATTAAATGATCAAACTTAATGATGCCTTCGATTATGATCCGCGAAAAACTCTCAAAATTATACTTGATAGGTTTCGAACAAGTGAATTCCTTATATATGTAGGTCCATGATTAACAGAACTAATTTATTATTGTAATATAATCTGGTTATTCGCACTGTTTTTGTCCTTGCTATGCGAAAATCTCCATCAGACGAGGTCTCCTTAGTAATGCTTGAGCGCCTAGGTAAAGCTTCGAAACTTGCTCAGCTGTAGACATGAAGACAAATTTCGAGTTTTTCATGTAAGTTTATGTTTTGTCGATTTTTTTTTTAAATCAAATGCTTAAAAAACCGTCTAAATTACTGATCTGTTGAAAATAAAATGCAAGTTATTCACCTTTTGTTCAGTTATAACTTTGTTGTTGCTTTTCCATGTACATTTTTTCATAAGAGAGCAGGCTGCAGATATAGTGAGTTGAGAAATGGCGAATCCAAGACGGCTAATAAATATTTCTGACTTAATTTCATTGCATAGATATATAGAAATCATTTTGGTTCGATCGACGGGCGAATAAATTAACAGTTATTTTTGGTGATACAATTCGTTCAATTACATGAAATTAGGTATCTAAATTTATGAGCTAAATTTTTTGTAAGAGCCAAAAAATACTGCACTGTACCTTTAACAAATTGTTTAGGCAATTAAAGATATCTTCCTTCAAAAGCATATCGATTTTGCTGGATCAGCGAAATCAAATATCTTTATACTTATTATTAATAGAGTCAATTATGTGGCAAATACTGTATTTTTGTAATGGAATTTATTAACCAAATAACAACACTACCTTTCTTCTATAAAAGTAGCAATACATTAATGCTTTCCTTCTTTTTTTCAGGTCTGCGCCGAAGAAAAGTCCCAAGAGGAGGTTGTACTCCTAGCGCTCAACTACATGGATCGCTTCCTATCCACGAAATCCGTAACAAAGACACATTTGCAAATATTGGCGGCCGCCTGCCTGTTATTGGCTTCGAAATTGCGCGAGCCCAGTTGTCGGGCGTTATCTGCCGAACTGCTGGTATTCTACACCGACAACAGCATATACAAAGGCGATTTAATTGTGAGTACTAAATCAACATACAATTTTACATGTTAATTGCCCTAATAGAATTTCAAACATTACTTAAGTATGTTAAGCAGAAAAAAAGAAAAGATGCTCTTAAGACGTAGCAAACACACTGGGAACAGTTTAACAACGTAATATGTTTGAGTGTATGTGTGTAACTGGTGCGACTTCCTGTTTAGCTACGGCACGCATCCAGGAATTATCACCTAAACATCTTCCGCACACTTAACTCCATTAGTATGTTACTCGAAACTGTTATATTTGGAATTTACTTGCCAAATTAACGACAGCATCAACAGTTTGGTCAAATATACTCGACATTCGCCCAGGCATAGTTTAAATACACACATACCATACACACCATTTAAATATTCGTACTGACAGTTTGCGCGCACATTGAACTTGTCAGAAGGTTGTTGGTCCGCGTGCGCCTCTTCTCTTCCAAGTCTTCTAGATGCTGTAACTATGCAACACACTACAGAACTATCCAAAGTAGTCAGCATTTATCGCTGGAAAATTTAACATAGTGCTAAAAAATTCGCACGCATCGGCGCGTCGCGGTCAATCGTTGTCGGTCTGCTGCGTTGATTTGTTTGTGGTTTATACTTGTTACTGGCGGTCAGTTAGCCACTTAAGCGGTTGGTCAATACACCGCTGGTTACATAGTTGGCGCGCAACGGCGTTGCTAAGGATTTGCTACATGGGAAAAGCAAATAATAGCGGCTCGCCAGCACTCTGTTTCGCTAGTTAGTTAACTTCGCTGCAGTTGTCGCTGACGTTGACGCTGACGCTGTCGTAGCTGTCAACTCTTAAGTTGCTTTAGACAACAATTGCGTCTTCGACGATTGCTGACGTCTTTCCCTGACTCTGCGAATGCTATTTGTGCGCAACGTAACCAGTCGAGTCGTTTGTTACTTAGTGGCAATTTATTTCTTAGTGGCAACCATGCAGCCTCCGCCGTTGTTGCGTCGTCATCTCTTCACTTCTGCAAATATCTCAATCAATTATAAACGAATAAGTTTACCAAGATTTCGTAGGCAAATACGCCTAGTGTAAGCTAATTTTTGTACAAACGTCGTCGGCGCGTCTGTGTGCTCTTTCAAAACGCTGTATGCAGCCCTGCTGTTATGCGTGTGTCACCCATGTCGCGTGTACTCACTCATCTCTCGACATATTTCATATCGACATATTCGCTAATTCTAAAGAGTAAAAGAAAAAAACTAATTACATTTATTAATAAAGAATACTCAGGCTTACAACAAACATGTATAAATATTTGTTGTTGCGCATATTTGCCAATTCAGGCATATTTTTGTACGCACGTGTATATGTATACATACTATAAATTTGTGTATGCCATGTATGTAAGCATGTATGTATGTAGGAAAATAGTTGATCACCGTCGATCCTCCTGTTTATTAAATGTAGCAACTCTTCATTTCAAAATATTTGCCAAAGAATGTGTCGACGTGGCGAGAGGGGTGTCTCTCATTCGCTGTGCATTCATACCTGAAGGGACCGTGCAGCTTGTATCGAACGAGCCGCACACTGTGAGAAATAATTGGAAATCTTGTTTTCTAGTTGAGTTATTGCATTTATAACTCAAGAAAACATAGTCTGATTTTGATGATTTCCGAGTTGTTGAACTCAAAAGGTATAGAAATACATAGATAATACTTGAACCGAAATAAAACAAAGTAATAAGGGATCAGATAGCTTACAGATATTGACTGAGCTCTGATATAAAAAGATCAAAACTAAATATCACACAATCAGCTTAAGGTCACAAAAAATTAGTGGGGGTTCCTTACTACCAACAGAGTTTTAGAACGAGGGGTCGGTTGTTGATTAACAGAATATGTTAAATCCAATTGTGTGCCCTACATTTAGGCGCACTGCTTATTGCCGTTGATTGGTTGGTCTAAAATGTTTCCAAATTCTTATTCCCTGTTCGGATGGTTTCGGTTAGGTAGACCGGATTACTGTGAACGAAGATACATGGTTCGAATTAAATTTTTCTAATTAGTTCGTCAAATAGGGGTATTAAGAAGTAGTACACAAGCCATATTAGACTTTCGAAAACATTTTTTTTTAATTTCTCGTAATTTTTTTATATTTTTCCTTTATGACTTAGTAATGCACCTGGAACTTTGACAGTGCTAGGCAAGCGGTCAGACTCCATCGTAGAAGATTTAATTGCTCTAATAACCGAATAGTAGCCAAGTGTCAAACTTCGGGGTCTAAAAAACGGAATTTTATTTAGCGACAAACTAAAGGCTTCCGCAATGAACTTTCAAAATATTTGGTAAATGTTTGCTACAAAAACTAAACGTACACATTGGTCGACGGCATTTTTATAGGATTTGGGACCTACCTTCAAACGTTATATAAACCATATATAAAATATATTTAGACAACTTTAATACTAAGATCTATGAAAGCTTACTTAAGCAAGTACTGTAGTACGTTCCTGTGATTCTAGAATTTTTACCGTGTCTCCAGAATTCCAATTGTACATAAGTAACAAAGTGCAATAATCCGCCTAGTGTTGTGCCAGCACTGCGCGCGAATGTTAATGCTTTGCCATTTAACTCGGCCCAACTCTTACTTAACTCATGCTCGTTTTCATACATACGATTGTCTACCGCCCGCCAGCGCCGTGCTTCCCACATGCTCATCCTTAAACCTTTAAGCCTTAAAGCGCTGGTATTTGGTTGACTACTTGACTGGCTTGGTTGGGTTTTCTTGTTGTTCTTTGTTATGCAGCAGCCAACAACAACTTACAACCTACAACAACGCAGTTGAGTGGCGGTGGTGGCCGGTGCCTTTAATGTCCCACTTGCTCAGCACTTCTAAACAATACAAACACACACGCGCAAGGCTGGTGGAGGCATTCAAAATTTCAATGTTACCAATGAATGCCAACCAGTCAGCCAACCGGGTTCGCAAGCTAGTCAACCTACGCACATTTTGCCTTGCAGATAAGCGCATGAATCGTGTCAACTCGGCTATGGTAGCGAGGTTGTGGGGGACTGCAATGACTGGCGACCGCTCACGGCTTACCTACTTTTAATTTTTCACTTGTACTTTTATTTTGCACGCGTCGCTGCCAGACTCCACATACATGTGGTCCATGGCAAAGAGTCGGCGGAAAATGCACATTCCTTGAAAGCGAGCAGACAGTTCGGCGAATATTTGCAAAAAGAAGAAAATCTACAAAAGACTTGTTCAAATAGTAGTTTCCCAGGGTCGGCACGTCGGCGCGTCGGCTACACATGCGCATCTCACATACATACATACAAACAGTAGGTATGCATCGAGTGCGCATCCTGCGCTGTGTGGCAAACTCACTCTTCATTGTGCTACAAAATTGGTAATGGCGTTTGCGCTGCCCGTAAGCTGCGCCTCACTGTAGCTATTCTACATGGACCGTCGAGTGCAGCTACGTCAGCGGAGGCGATATTGCAATTTATTTTTTGTTAAGTGCCGCATTTTGATCTCACTTTCCGCGGAACGTTGCATGTAGCATAATCTCTGCGCCAGCCACCGAACTGACTTGTTTGCTGACTAGATGACTGTCTACCTTTTCTTCTATTTTCTTATTGTTCTTGTTTTCTAGTTTATGTTCCTTTAGGCAGGCGAACGCACAGATGATTTCTCTGCTCGGTCGATTTTGTTGATGTTTCTGCATCGTCAGCACCTTGGCATGTTGCGCCACAGCAGGTCCTCTTGCGCTGCTAGACGGCTTGTTTTTTTCGATCTCATTCTTAATGGCAACGTCGCATTGCATGCCGAGTGCTGGCTGAGTTCGTACCGGGTGTGTATGTGTGTGTAGTCAATGGGATTTCAATAAACGGCAACAAGTCTGTTGTTGGCAGTGTTGATAGTTGGTTAGTGCTTAGTATAAACCAAGGTGCCGGTGGAGGTGGCTGTCGATCTTTGGGGTATGCAACAGTCAAGTCTATATTGTTTTTGTAGTTGTAAATTCCATTTCATACAGTGTTGCCAATTGTCTATTATCTGTTTTAGTTATAATTTTTTTGATTTTTTTTGATTGAGGTTGTGGATCCAGGACGAAAATGTTTTTTCAGAAAGACTTACCAACATTCACGAATTTCTGTAGCATTTTCAGTTTTCTTGGAGTCGAAGTTGTGGATTCTGACTTCGCAAAGGATTGGTCTATAACCGTTCAAGAATAGTTCAAGTGTAATCTCCGTCTTGCCGATCGGCCTTCATACCCAATTCTCAACAAACAGCTAATTATTGGTTTTAAATCAAATATATATATAATATAATATATTTTCCTATTTGCTGATGTAGGTGGAATTTTAATTGGGTGACTATTCCACTCATTTTTTCGAAGACTTCAGTTCTAGGACTAGGACTTCAGTTCTAGGACTTCTTAATCTTCGGACTTCCTTATGATAAACAATTGCCCAAACCTTTCCTTTTAAACTCGAGAAGGGGTCTTTTACTATTTCACTGTTTTATACTGCACATATTTCTTTGTGCAATACTTCTACCCTGGCAACCATAATTTTATGTCAAACCGGCAACAATACCAATTACGAGTACATACCAAAGACTACCTTTTAGGCCATTTAATTCGCAAGGTCGTTGCATTGAACATTCATTTAATTGCATGTGATACCATTACAGCCAGTTCAGGTAATCGAAAGGCATGATAAAGATCACTGTCCTCTGGGTGGACACCTATGCTGCTTTTATTTTCATTTATTTATATGAAATTTTTTTGTTTTTGGTTTTGTCGACCATTGTTATTGTTGTCATCAGCTGGTTGCGACCAGATAAATCTTAGACTGTAGCGGCAACATTTTTAGAACAAAGCGAATTGGCAAAATAAATGAAAAGAAAAGCAAGAATGTCCTAGCGGAAAATAACCAGAAAGCGAAGAAGGAGGTGTTGCGCTTACAGGGTGCCTGCCAACAATCACTTGAAAATTGCATAGCTTTTTATGGGCCTAAATTTTTGTG